TGTGATTCTGTGATTCTGTGATATAGTTATGTAATATTCAGCAACCTGTTTCTGTAAGTGTCATCCAACAAAAGCTACAGTATTATGCATTTCAGATTTTGAGGTCAAAAAAGGTTTGCAGAAGACCCATTTCATAAATTCCTGTTACTGAAAAACAATTATCATAATATTTAGTGGGAAAGAATAGACAATAATACTGAATGGTTCTCATGGTTTTATTTGCACTGCTGTTCAAAAACGTGAAATGCAACATGCTGACTTCTATTGATACAACTGCAAAAATATCACAGGCTTTCCTGACACTTGAACACCTATTCCCCTCTCTCTCTCTCTTTTTTCTTCATAGGAATTCTATGCTGTTTCTCCTTGCAAAAATATATTCACCTTTAGATAAGAAGCAAGTTGCTTCTTTCTATGGTACCAACTCCGAATCAGCGGTTTTGGAACTATTACCAGTTTTACAAGTAATCCTGTGCTCTTATTTCTACCTCTTTTCATGCAAGATTCCTCCTCATTAAAAACTCTTGGTGTCTTCTCAATGATAGCTTCCCAAAAAAAAAGAAAAAAGAAAAAAAAAAAGAAGCTTATCTTTCCTCCTGCTCTCTCTCAACATAAGCAGAGTTTTCCCTATTACTTACTGTTTAAAGTTTAGCTATTCTCCCAGCTCCTAGACTCAGTATTTCAAAACATATCTGGAACTGGACAAGGCAAGAAGATCACACCAACAGACTAAAAACATTGGAAGAGTTTGGTAGAAATTCCAAGCCAGAGTGTGGCTTGACTGTAATGTTAAACCAAATAAAATGAGGTGATTGAACTGATAGAACATACACAAAAAACCAGCAAGTTTCTATCACCGCTTGGTTTGTTCAAGTCACAGCTGTTGCATAAAGCAGAGTAAGTCACTCGTGAGTGCGTGAGAGACTTTACTGGCTATGCCAAAGGGTGTGGTGGGAGCTGATGCCTGGCCTGTCACTCCTTTCCCCCTAGTGTTTCTCCATATCTCACTAGGAATACTACTTGTGTGTTATGAAGCAGTTCCAAACATTGAAGATAAATAATTGGAAATCCTTGACATTTCACTTCCTTTGGAATTAATGAAAATTCAACAAAATGTGCTTCATATTAAGGAGTGAGGGCTTAAAAGGGAGACAATGGGGGGTTTTCTGAGTCACACTGTACTTTAGCATCTTCAACGGTTTCAGGTCTTCTTTTCTGCAATAAACAGGCATAATTATGCTAGCATGGTTAGAACTAAAAACAATAAATTAGATTTGTTTCAAGAGCAAAAGAAACATGGAAATTAAACTCTTTTTTTGGAGAAGAAATACTTTGTATATGTAGGACTGACAACTCCTAAAGTCATTGTATTTTTTTTGTAACTCATTATGTTCTTTAATTTTGGTATGTGAAGCACTGCACTTAGAGTAAACAAAACTATTCCTATTGCTCTACAATTTAGATATGCTTGATTATGTTAATATAGTAAACATTTTAAAATGTGAATGTTCAAAATTGTCAGAGGTGAGAGGAATTTTTCTCCTGATATCCCTTTTCTTTTCATCACATTTTGCTCAATTTCATGGACTTTTATGGTCAAATATTCAGAGTAAATCAGGTCAGCATTTTTTTCCTGAGCGTGTTGTCCACTTCTCAATAACAGCATCACGGATCATGCACATTCTGAAGTTTCACACCCAAGGCCACAGACCTTAGTAGTGCCACAGAGAGGTCTACTAACACTTATTTATTACCAGGAAGAAAAGCAGTACCCTCAAAAGACATTGAATGCTGCAACAGGAGAAGAAGGACTAGGGTGGTACAAGAACCCCATCTTAAAAAAGCATGCTATAAAGAAGAACCAAAATGGAGGGTTCTTTCAGTCGTAACAGGAGGTAGAAGTAAAGGTGGGATTCAGCTCACAGTTTGAGAAATCTTAAGTGTCTACGTATGGAGACCTAAGCTCCCATTATAATCCAGCTGTGACAACAGTCACAGCAAAACCTAGAGAGTTTCTAAGCTCTCCCTAAAGAAACTCCTTACATGACTAAGGTAGAGGCCATTTTACAAATTTTTATATTTTCAAATGAGGGTGTGCTCTTTGCTTTCATTGGAAGATAGATGTGTCCCCCAGGATCCCGCGGTGCACTTTGCTAATGTAGAATTCCCCTCGTGGTTTGTCTGGGAGAATGCCCACCTCTCCCTGCAAACTCAGCTACCTTCTCCTCTTCCAAAGCATCTCCTTCCTAACACCAAACCAGTTTCTCACCAACGGGTCTGAAGTCCTATAATGAGATCAGACAAGCTTAAAATGAGATTCTTTCTGTGGAAACAAGATTAATTGTTAACTTTGCTATCGTTCACACACTGCTAATTGGAATGTGGTATTTAAATAAATCCTCACTTGCTACTGAAGAGTTATTTTATATGGTCAAAAGCATTAATAACTCATAAGGTCCTATTGTAAAAACATTCACCACTTCCTCCTTTACTTACCAGCCACAGTAAAACTCATCACATAGGTTTTGTTTCTTCCAGTAGCTACACAGTGGTATGTTGCAAAGTCAGAGGCGGTAATGTTTTCAATGACGATCACGGGGTTTGTCTGATTAGAGCAATCCACCAGTCTACACTCTTTGAAATCTGAACCAAAGCTTTGCTTTTCTGACAGGCTGCAAAGAACAACAGTATCTACCCAATCTGCATTAATCCTTTCCCACATCACTTGCTGCACTGATTCTTCGATTTTTTAAGGGCAAGTAAAAGCGACATTTCCTCCTGGCTTGGTAAACACATGATTATTTTGTTTCTGAGATACTTCAAAAGCATCTGTTGTAAAACACAAAAAAACCACACCAAAAGGTGCTTATAATTTATTCCAGGGAAGTTTAGCATCAGCAATTCCTGTATGACAAATATTAGTGAAATTGACTTACAGCAGGGAGATACTCAAATCATTTGAAATACTGAAAAAGATAATTTATACGTATCTATGACTATACTTTTGTGCAGATTTAGATAAAACAGTCTTTATGGAACTGTGAGGCTGCAATGACATTGCAAGAAGGCTATTTCTATACATTTTGAGTTCATTAATATTTTATCAACAGTTTCAGCAAAATAGTCTACTGCATAAATTATGGGGCCAGTCTAATTAAATTTCTGATAGTCTTGCTCTACTTTCATACTAATTATAATATGAAAATCATTTGATATGACCCTCAGGACATGCATTAGTAAATCATGTTAAAAGATATTCCAGCCTACAAACTGCAGTTCTCTCGTTCAAAAACCTCACCACTTAAATAAAAAAATTCTTATCCATTCATATGCTCTACTTAGGAAAAACCTCTATGATAGTCAGGCTGTGGTACGGAAGGAGACTTACAGACAAATTCAAGACTTCCACCACATATAAAACATAGATATATTATATCTTGAATCATTTTGACTGAAATCCCCCTGCTCTGATTTATTGTTTTTAGTAACATAATTCACTGTTTACAAATTAAGAAAAAAAATTTTTTAAATCATTGGTAGAAAGATTGTCAATGTTTCTGATATTCATAGCATTCAATAGTCACTTGAGTTCTAAAGTCAAGTTTGTAATGCATATACCTCACAATCTAGGACTAGCACTGTCATATTTTTGAAGACTAATGTTGAAAAAGATTAATGATCAGACTGCTTTTCCTAACTTGTAAAGGGACTGATCTTTCAAGCTCTTCAATGAGCTTCTTTTTTTATTGGATGTTTTTAAGTCAAAAAATCTCACTATGATATATTTTTAACATGTTTACTTCTATCTATGGCAACAACTGGAAGCAGAGACAGAAAATTAAAATTGCACAGGAAAAATGACTGTCATTAAATACATCAAAACCTGTTTATAAAAACAAGTTTTAAAATGAAGCTGTAGCCAGATTCACAGGATGGGATGGTTACAGTAGCACTCCAGGTGGAGCTGAATATGCTGTAGGACTGAGCTAGATTTAGATCCTCCTTGATATAACATTTTTATAAAAAATCTAGGGAAAAAAAATGCTGGAAAACTGTATTGCTTTGGATGCTGCTAGTGCCAGGATTGTCACAATCATAGTGGAGAAATCAGTACAGGGTGGCCTAGTTCGCTTCCTAAACTAGGTGCATAACATAGTAGGATTTCATGTGGGGAAGTATACTGCCCTAAAACTAGGAGTAAATGATTCCATTCATGTCGCCGGCATGGAGACTTCACTGTGGAAGTCTGTGACTTCTGAGACTTGCGTAGTCTCTGTGAAACAGTGAATGAAAAAGTCTAGCCTGCAATTTTTTATCAATGGAACCCAGCACAGAAAAAATACATTCCCTATGCCTTTGGAGACCAGAAGTATGATTAAAACATTGAAATGCTGAAAGGCAAAAGGAACTGTGTCTAATGAGTTTGCCTAAAATAAATTAATGAAGAACTTGAAGATTCATGTAGACTGCAATCAAGGAGACAGAAAGTTAATGATAGACAAGGGCAGAAGAGAGATAAATTCACTAAACTAAACAGAAGGTACAACACAGTGAAGTTCATTAACTGCTTGGACAGCTTGCCAAAGACAGCTAAATTTCTGTTACTGAAGATGACTGCCAAGGCTGCATAATCATTTAAGTTATCACATTAGTTCCAGAAAGAATTTACTCATGGAAGTCTAAGTATTATTCAAATCTGACTGCTACGATGGGACTCTACACTTGCAAAATATGTTCCTTGGAGTGCAGTCCCTCGGAAGTCGCTCCAATAGAAAAGGTAAATGTTTTTTTTTAATATCCTGCAGATACAGATCTGCAGATTCAGTAAGAGCGGTAAATGAAAAGGTAATTTAAACCAATTCTCTCTCTCTTGCCTGTCATATTCTTACAGGTCAGACTCTTACCTCCTATCCCACTTTCCAGACCACTAACTTCCAACAACTGCCTGCTTTACAATAAACCACATATTCCTTCCCGAAAAATCTTGTCTTCTTCACTGTTCAGTCTTTGCTGTCTTCTGCTATGAGCAAGCCCTATGGCTACCTATGGCCTCCTTAGGAGCCTTGAAGTCTCCCTGTCTACTCCTGGCTCCATCCCTGCTGTCTGATTCATTTCATGCCACTGCTATCCTGAGCTCCAGGTGTCTCTCCTTTCTTAACATGCTTATTAGGGAAATTATGTGTATGACGATACCTTCTAGAAGATTCCCATCTGACCCAAAGGGCAGCAACCAGGACTGTATAAAAAATAGCCTTCTTCCCTGCTGCACTGCTGTACATTTGCTAGAAAAATATACATGCTACATATGGCAAACTGTGAACAAGGAGATAAAACATTTTCCACCAAAATAATGAAAATCCTTTCTGTCTGAAACTTATTAGTTAGCTTTGTACATTATATTTGCCAAACAATAGATCACAGTTTCCTCATAACACATCATATAGTATACTGTAACAGGTACCTTACAAAGCTAAGGTTGCCTTGCAACTTCCGTGCAGCTACAATTCTTGATATATTTGTATAATTTGATGGTATGCAACTGATAAATAATACATTAATAGTGACAACCATGTACAAACACACAAATTAAAATAGAAAGTTTTGAGATTCTCAGCCGCTGTAAATTCTATCATAATCATTTTCAAACACAGACATCATGACACATTTTATTTTTTTGCATTGCATGTGTTTTTTCCTTGACAGTATCTAGCAACATTCAGGTATTTTCACTCTTGATGAAAGATGTAAATTCCTCCCCTTCTTACAATATATAAATACACCTTGCACAATTTACATGACTATGTAAGGCACAAGCAGTAGAGAATCAGGCCTACATAGTTCTAATTAAATCTTTCAAGTACACTGAAGTGTTCCAGGCTTTTGTTTTAAGCAATTGTCCCATTTTATTTTGACACCAGCATCAGTACAGTACTTTCAACTTCCCTCCTCCGTTCAACCACTTTTTTATTTAGCTTTCTGAACACAGCTTCTTTGCTTTCAGCCTAGTACGTGTGGGATGAGAACCTGCCGTTCTGAGAAATACTTCCATGGGGAAAAAGGCACACCCACAAACCTTCACCCCCACACAGGCACAACTCAAGGTGACACACCATGTGTAAACATTTCAGAAATGCTAAAAAAAGTGCATAATTTAATCCAATAAAAATAGACTCCCCGCTGCCCGCTGCTCATTTTGGCCACTGCCATTGCTGCCTGCTCTGCCTCCTGTGATAGCCACATCATCTTGCCTCCTGGACAGAAAGTAGGAAGAGGTGACAGGACTCACAGTAAGTGCATTTGCCTCTGCTTAGTAAAGAAGTGCTCTGTATTTGATATCCTCCCCACAACTCTTTTGGCATAATGTTATCTCATTGTATTTTGCAATTACTTTTTTTTTTTTTTTTTTTTTAATCTGCTTTAAGGCCATGAGACATATAAAGGATAAAAAAAATGTAAGTTTTCCTATTTTTAAAAGCTTAACATTTCAACATTTTTCTTGGAAAGTAAATCTCAGAAATATAGAGGTATAAAAGAGTGTAAAACCAACTTCTCAGGATTTAAAGGATCAAGCAACTAGAATTAGATTCTGCAGGAGGGAAATTCTTGAAACTAAGAAATTCTTTTTGGAGGGAAAATAAAATAATGGTTAGAGACTTTCTGCTTTTTGGTTCCTGTCCTGTCCACTTTATTTGTTTTTTTCATTCTTTTAGATTCCGATAAGCTTAGCTGGTTTTGTTTCTTCAAGGTAAAGTTACTTAGGTACACGGACTTGTCTTCAGCTAGTTTATTCATTTCTAAATTCAGTATCTATCTATAACATTTTAATTACTGTTCACCACACATTTCACCAAACCCAGATTTATTATCTTATGCAAAGTGCAGAGTTTCACTCTACACTACACATAAATCTCATGCATTTCTTCCGGTTTAAAACCATATACAAATTAAACAATATTCATACTTCAATATCAGTTCTGCAACTTCAGAAAGGTAAAATTCATCACAGTAAAATAAACTGTTGAGACACTCTTCTGGCTTTGCATGTTTCTGCATCTCTGTTGAGGCTTAAAGCTTAACAGAGGTTCAGTACTACCAGAGCTGGTTTCATACAAAGAGTGCTACATCAGCTGTTGCAGACAAGCGCACACTCGACAGACAACAAACACCACCCTCAGCCATCCCAGCACACAGGCATTTTCCATGTGCTCCCAGGTACCACAAGGTCAGAACAAGCTCATACGGCTCAGACTGACAGTAACAGAGCTACCTTCAAAGTAGCTACCCTTAGGAAGTAATGCTCTCCATCAGAAATGACTAATGGCTTCAGCAGACTTTTCAAAACTGCAAAGCTAACTTAGCTCTACAGCAGAGACAAGTTCCCAGGTCTCACGTGGTTTGCTGAAGCTCTGCATAAAAACACAATCTTCTTCTGCTGCTTGTAATAAGAAGTGACAAAATAAATTGCAGATGAAAAAGAGGCTTAAAATTTTATGAACTTTTTTTCTGGGACTTTTCACCAAGAAAATCAACTTTCAGATGAGAAAATATTTCAAGAGTAACCCTTTCACCCTTCCTGATTAAACTAAATATGAAATTATATTTAGCTCCCAAACTGCTATCTTCCAACTGTACTAGCACACACCACACAATTTTGCTGAATTTCTAAAACACAGGTTTTGTCCTTTTTTGGATGAGACAGGGAGACATGGATGCATAGCTATTAAGTTGAAACAGTAAAGATCTTAATTTCTAATAAGCTACTGACACCACTTCTACAAAGAGACTCAGAAACCAGCAGTAGTGTGGTGTTCGAAAAGGATATCTTTTTC